TTTTTTTTTCCTTATTTTTGTTGCTTTATTTTTCTTTTTGTTTATTTAAGTTGAAGGGTAATATTGCTCTTTTACATTAATTTAATTTAATTTTATTTATTTGCTTATTTTATTTTTTTTGGCAAAAACCGTCTTCTCAGAAGTTAGGAGCAAGAAAAGTCGAGGGCATATCCGCTGCTTTACTCAAGGTTCGACCTGAATAATTCATTTTTTCTTTTATTTTCAAATATGTTTGATTGTACACTTAAAATCCTTATTTGGATATGCAATTATACTGCAGATGACTTGCTCATCTCTAATAAATTATGAAAGAATTATACATTTTTGCATGAAAGATAGGCTGGTGGATTCTGGGTATTATGTATTATATATTTTCATATGAAAAAAATTCACGTTGCATAAAAATGAAGAGAGTTTTGAAAGTTTATTTTATTTTATGAACCATGCTATGTTGTCCGAATTTTTTTGACATAATGGCTGATCGATACTGACAATGGGAGAGGGCCCACGTCTTTTTTGAACTTTTTTATTCACACAAGACTCACGCGCATGTGAAAGTATGTCAACCATTACGTTAAAAAAATTCAGGCAAAGTAGTTTAATTCTATCTTATATCAACAAGGGAAATTTGCATAGTTAGTTTCCAATTTTTTCAAAATGTTTGGTATTTACCTCTAACTTTTTTATTGGCACCATCCATTTTTAACTTTTAACTAATTAGCATGGTTCATTACCGTTGACAGAAATCTTCCAATTGCTAGGATCATATACAAAAAGTTTGCCCCTCCACTTTAAATAATTAAAAATAAATAGGTCTAAAAGTTGGGACAACTTTGAAAATGGCTAGTAGATTCTTCCTATTTTTCACAATAGCCTTTCTTATCAAAAGTACTATATTGCCCTTAATGAAATTATTTGCAAGATTTATCTTATATCTTTAAGGAATTGTCAATCAGGTCCTATATCTATATTTTTCAATCTTTTGAACACCTTTAAATATTCTTTATATTTTAATAGTTCTTCAAAGATTATAGGTTGGCCTTTCTTGGTTATATATTCTTTAAATAATCCTTCTGAAATTTCTTCTTGTATATCCGTATATTTAGTTATAATATCTTCTACTTTTCTTATTTCTCTATAAGTTTTCACAGAATCAAATCCTATGTTATTCTTACAACTAAAAT